ATGGCTAGTAATAAATAAAGAGGACATTTGCTCAAAAAAATTAAATTTGAGCAAAATTTTAGACGTCTTATCATTTGTCAACAGTCAACGTACTCTTCTAAAATTTTTTACACTAATTATACTTAATTAATTTATTTAGCTTATTCTAAAATTAAAATTAAAATTCTTTAAAACATCCAAAAAAAAAAAGAAATTGAAAAACAAATTTGGGGGCGTAGCGTGATGCCAGGTCCATAGAGAGGCTAATTTTTGCTGATTCAGCAGTTAGGAATTCTCAGTTTCCCGATAGAGTATTTTGCATTCTTGAATTCAAGAGATGGCGATGATGAGAGAAGAATAGATTACTTTGTTAGTTTGTTATAATTCATTGACTATAGTTTCTATTAGAACCAAAATCGTTCCGTTCTTGTATTGGGTCGTCGTCTTCAGGATTACTGAATCGCGGAGAGCCAGAAATGGCGAGCTCTCTGCAAGTGCGAGCAACGAAATCACCACTTTGTCCGCCTTCCAAGAATCTTTTCGCCGGCAACAACATCGACGCCGGCCGTCGGAGACTACTCTGTAGGAGAAGACCTCCTCTACCATTCGTTTCTTTGACCCTACAATCGCATTCTAATGCAGCTGCTCCCTCGACTTCCGAGCCCTCGCATTCGCATTACACCTTCTCCGTTGGATCTTCTCCAATTTCTCCTTCTCTTCATCTCTCTCACTGGAATCTTACCAATCGCCATATCGCTCTTCTCAATGTCATCGCTTGCGCGGTATATTACTTTTCTTTCTTTCTTTTATTTGGTTCTGTTACTTTCACTTGTGGGTTCTCTTTCAGCTTCACCAAATTCGTTTCCGGAATTTCCTTGTTAATTCTATTTCAGAATTCTATTTCGTTATCCTGCAATAAATTCATAGCTGTTATGATGTGGTAAATCCGGAACCCTGCTTCACAAAAGTGAATGTATATAATGCGTATCATGTGGTGCATGCACTTGTATATGGTAGAAATGGTACATTGGAAGAGAGATGTTTTGTGAATGTATGTATTATATCTGAAGGGACATAATGAATATATATAATGATAGGAATAATTATACAAATAGAGCACTTGAAGAGATATAACGAGGGAAAAAATATATGATCGATATAATGATATGGAGATGTTAGCCAGAGTCGCATTCTTTTGTGTCGTTTCTATTAATGCATGAACGAATAGATGAAGGAGACAGAATTCATGTGCCGGTTGCTTTTTTGTTGGAACTTTTGTAACTTCTTATATTTCCTCTCGCTACATAGACTCTTCGGATATTACTATTTTTCTCCCTCTTTTTGCTTGTAATTTTAGTTAGATGTAACTGGTAAAGTCATGTCTTGTTCTGTTGTGCAGACGGCAATATCTACCACATGGCTGTTTTGTTCTGCAATTCCCACGCTTCTGGTTTGGGTTCTTAAAACTTGGCTTCCATGACTTTTTATCTTATTGGATTGCTTTTGGAGGGATTAATTTAGACCAATGTATTCAAATTGCAATGTTCCTTCTTAATAAAGGCTTTCAAGAGAGCAGCAGAATCAATGGAGAGGCTGATGGATTCCACAAGGGAGGAGCTTCCTGATACAATGGCTGCCATTCGACTATCTGGGATGGAAATATGCGACTTGACAACGGAGCTCAGTGATGTTGGGTATCATTATTAACTGCAAATTCATTTTGCTGATAAAAAAATATCAGTAAACTACTATATGGCGATTATTATTCTTAATAAAAATGCTGCTATTCTTGAGTTAAAGCGTTATTTACGTTAATTAAAGTGAGTTATCAAGCTGATCTATGATATGAGTATACAGCTTTCATATTTGATTACTTAAAATCTGCAGTCAAGAGATTACCCAAGGTGTGAGGAGCTCCACTCGAGCAGTCCGCGTAGCTGAAGAGAGACTTCGAGGTTTCACAACCATGGCTTCATCAGGTACTTTCCTAATTATGCTGCAAAATCTAGTTGTCTAAATTTTAGACATAAGATTCTTTTAAAATGAAAATAAAAATCTATTTTGGTTCTTATGTCATGACCGTTACTTTAATATGCTTCATGAACATTTTGTATCAATTCATAGCATCTGAGAATATGATCTGGTTGAATCAAATTATCTGATCTTCGAAGAATTTTTTATTGTCTTAATACTCCTAGAAAGGGAAAATTAGAGTGAAATCATGCATTGGATTACTAAAGTGATGCAAAAAGTTTGAAGCACTGGATTAATAATTAGACTATTTTCTATGATCAAAATAAGACTTCTGTCATTAAATTTGGGGCTGTGGCAAAGAATTTCACTTCATGATCACTTTGGTTAGCTTCATTGCAGGCAGGGGCGAGCCCGAGAGCCCAGCCAGTTGAGCCTCTCGTAGCAAAAAATGCTAGGGGCTTGAGAGAGGGTCTTGTGAAGGGTCGTACAATCTTGCAGATGTTTTTCACTCTTACCCATTTTTCAAAGTTTGCTCTTAACTACATCACTAGAAGCAGAAAGAGTTAGGGCCAAAGAAGATGCTATATGTTCCTGCTGAGCAATATAGACGTTCTCTTCTGTATATTTTTTGTTCCTCTCTTTTTCATGAGAACGTGGAAATAGTTATGGATTATGCATTTCCCTTTAGACTAATGACAACGCATTAAGGTGGAATAGAATCGAAGATGCTTCACGGCGTATTTGGTATAAAGGAGTTTGGCACTCTGGAAACCAGATGCCGATAAACTCTGGAATAGTTCTTCCCATAAAGGGGTTGAGGGACCTTTTCAGATTCTCGAATACATTGGTTACTGATTTTTTTTTTGTTTGGATCTAATGATTTTCTGTTGATTTGTGGGTTAATATAGGGTTTGTCCATCTTTCCTGTCGTGGTTCTTCGCATATGTCAAGTTCAGCATTTTTTTTTTCAAACGTCGTTTTTATTTTTGTGTAGGTAATGTTCATGGCATGCTAAATATGTTACTGTCATACTATGCGTTTATGGAATATGAGAAAGTGCTATATTATGTGCGGTCTGTGAATTGCAGAACTTGTCAAAGATTTTATATTTTGAAGGCCGAATAAGGCATTTCTTTTTATCACATTTTTCATTTTCTGTGTGATTGAATGATGATGAATGGAATCTAGTCTTCATTTTTTAATAAGATAAATACCTTTTTTCCTCAATATCAAGAAGGTAGATTAGTTTAGTTAGAAACTTCAAGTATGTGGGTAGACATAAATTTTTTCTAATAATAACCTCCAGGAAATTGATTAAAATAGTTCATTTATTATTGGATGTGTTACCAGTATTTCTCTCCTTGTTTTAACAAGGATATAAATGAAAAAACAATAAATAATCTAGATAAAAGTAAACTGTTTTTTTATAATAATAAATAAAATTATAGGGTAAAAGTACATACTAGTTCTCAGGTGTAGAATTTTTTTTTTTTTTCCCCAATCAAAGAACGCTGATGTTGCAAGGGTATGATGAGGACTGATATGACCGCCAGATCAAATGGAGGGACCGTTGGCCGAAAGGAAAAAAAATCGGGAGGGGCCATTACCTGAGGCCCTAACAATTTTCAACATCAAATATGATGATGTCTCTGACTAGATGATACTCAGTGCAACTAGTTTACCTAATTTTTTGGGGAAACAAAAGAGAGCTCAGCCATTTGATATTTGAAGCAGAAACAATGAGACCAGGGGGACGACGTGCATCGAGGTTAGACCATGATTACTGTTTCTATTCATATTCATCGGGGTTAGACGTGCATCGATGTCAATATTCATATTTTATAGTAAGTTCAGCTATTGATACGTTTTGAACACAAATACGATGGCCCAACATCTAATTGAACCATTAAAATGGCAGAACCCCTGCTGCCTCTTTCAGTATAGTACTTGATTAAGACGTCCAATAATAAAAGGCCCCCAAAAAAAAAAACAAACCTTGTTTAACAAAACCCTCAAATTAAGACTTCCAGATTCTCGCATGCGCAGCAAGAACAGGGAGGGAGGAAGAAACCCATAAAGCTAGAAAGACGAACACAGAGCTAACATTATTATTAAGCAGAGAGAGAGAGAGAGAGTTTAAAACCTATGGGGCTGCAAATTCAAGTAGTAGAAACGTTAACTTGGCCACCTTGCCCTTTGGTTAATGGTGGTCTTGATGGCTTCCTGAGGTTTCGTGATGTTCCTTCTCCGTATTTCTTTTCAGTTGCAGAGTCGAGACCAAGGCACTTGGAAACAGCCTTCACCAATCGTTCTATGAAATAACAGGGCTTGTATAAATTGAAAGCCCTCTCTCTTTCCGTCTCCATAGTGTTTTTTCCCCCCAAATACCATTTAGCTCCTTCCCCTTTCTTTTGCTGCATCGGTTCTTAAAAGAGTGCTTATTGACACGCCACTTCATGCTTCAGCTTTCCAACATGTTGCAGCAATTAGACGCGTGCCGCTTCGGGTACCTTCACGTGCATTTTCGGTTCCAATTTATCAGTTTCCCCTTACATCTTGCTCTCGTGCTTTCCATGACTAATTCAGATACAATTATATCAGCTTGTATTAAAAGACGAGGGTTTTGGAATTTGAACTCCTATAAACTGCACCCTGCACTTTCTATAATATTCTGCTAAAATGAATACGTTATATCATACACCAAGGATCGTTTTGGAATGTTGTGGAAGCCTGTTCATTATCAAATAACAACAACATTTCGGTCGGGAGATCCTATTTTAACGTTTTCTTTTCTCCTGCCCTGAGTCCCCGTCATAGTCAGAACGGCTTGTTAAGATTAAACATTAAAATTGTACATAAACCCCATCATTTTCGTGACTTTCGTCTGTTCCACCAGGTGCCAGGTTCAGTCCCAAAATACAATCAAGCGTCAGATTACTCAGCCGAAAGTTTACCGTCCTTTAATTGAATAAATATCATACCACGAGTCCAATCCCATTCTTTTATCAGAAGTCTGTTCTTTAAATTCTTACCGTGGCCATAAATCATGATGAGCGTGAGACCATTATGGGAAATTCGGATTCGAGCAGAAGTAAGGAACTAGGAAGATTATACAGAGCACTGAATAAAACTGATGCTAATTATGTTGATAAATTCGTGGGATCATTTAATGATATGACAACATATGAAGTAAGAATCAGCTTTGTTTTGGTTTTCTGCATCTTTGGGTAGGAGGGGAGTCAGGTGCAGGGTCCAAACCCAGACATTTGAGAAAGGCAACCCTAGCTAACTGGAAATAATGGCAAGGGTGGAACCGGGAGGAACCCTCCCTCTCTCCAAATTCTTCTGCACTCACTATCCTTCTCGTTGTTCCTGATGATACTTCACCTTTTATACTGCGATTCTCTCCCCCCTGCAAAATTATGTAATTCCCATCACAACAGTACAATGACAAGCTATTTGTGCGTGTATCAGTCATCTGTTCTCAATGTAAGAGTTATAAATAAACATGGATTCCCTAGCTCTCAGGATTCAGGAATTTAAGGACATCACATTTTGATAATCTATCAGAGATCTTTGCTTTTCGACTAGGTAAACGACATGAAAGAAAACCAGAGTGATTTTAAGCTGGGCAAGTTCAATAATGAACGAGAACATAATTGCAACGTGCAAATGTTTGTAGCCTTAGCAGCCACTGTTTAAGCCAGCAAGGCAAAAAAACTTTATACGTCCCAAAATGATGCTAGCACGATTATAATGCAAGACTGAATCAAAACCAGGAGGATTATTATGTAGTTTAGAACTTTAGATTATAGATCTCATCCAACAGAACACCACAGTTTTTTAAATTTTTTTTAATAGAATAATTATAAATGGATGTCGAACACTTGATGAGCATAAATAGGATCAATCAAATGAGAAAACGTTTCGGATCTATTAGTCCTTAGCAAAACTCCATTTCCACTGGATCTATCTCTAATGTACTTTCTATACTGTCCCTCTAATATTAGCAAATCTCAGCCATTTTGAGCCAATCCAGAGGGGCTACCAAATTCCTAAACAAATACACGCTACAGGGAAGGCAGAGAACAGTGGCAGAAAAAAGAAATTTTGGGTGGGTATTAGAAGCCAATGGACAATTTGTAATTGCATAGGTCTAGGTTAAATCGAGTTATATCTAAACTTGTCGATAATTACAATCTGTCCTTGAAAACACTTCTTGGGACCAATCCTACTCACTTCTTTCTCCATCTAATTAGGGATACGTTATCCAGAATAAACAAGAACTTTCCTTATCTTCGAAGTCCCAAAATTAGAAAATACCCAAACATAAGCAATATACAATGCAGAATGATAAATAAGAACATTAGAGGGCCCAAATCTGAAAGGAGTGGAATACTTCAAGGATGGTGATGACTTTCATCCTCTACGTCCAATTCAAATACTAGCTATTAGGTTAAAGCTAAAATCTGAAGGAAGAATCAATCAGATGAACAAGAACTATTAAACCATCTAATTATTGCTATGGATAAACACGATGCGGTTGTTGCTTGGAGTAAGAGAAAATCAAGATTTCAAATGCCATCTAATTTCTTCGTTTCCACGATAACTAGGTTTCTGAGAGGGTGAATTAAGAACTTAAGAATGTTAACAATAAAAGAAAAGGTTCATATCCCTCCTCCACAGATCGAGACATCAATGTCAAAAGAGAACGAAGAGAAAAGGAAAACAATCTATGCCAAGCCGAAACACCGCGATTTCTTTGACTAGATGAAGACCAAGAAATACATTAAGTTTAAATATCAAGATCATAAACCCAAATTCTGCGAAATGAGAGGAAGATATTAAAAATATATAGCAAGAAAGAAAAATTCGGTACCTGTGTATCCAGTCTTCGGTTGATTACGAAAGTAGTGGTCGAGGGATCGTGTTTACCACTGGGTTTTTCTACCTGTCGAATCTCATCGAAAAGGAAGCGACTGGTAGATGCAGATTCAGCAGCGGTGGGGCCCTCCGTGGCTGCGACGGTGGAGGCATCGTCGGAGGAATCCAAGGCGAAGACGGTGAAACAATATAGAAGAGCGACGAGGAGAAACAGAACCACCAGCTGAATCCAAATCAGCCATGGAATCCCAGAGCTCTGAAAGGCAAGCACGTCCCCAGGATCGAACATAGTAATTAACAATAATCTGGGGACATAGTAATTTAGATAGCAAATTTAAGAAGAAAGAGAGAAGAACATTGATTCGTTGACGGGTTGAAGTTGAACTTTGAATTGAAGTAAACTTCAACACGAGGGAGAGTGATGAGAAAGGATTCCCTCTGGGTCACTGGCACAAAAATGGTGGATTTTCAGTCATTTCTATGAGAAATTCAGGCTGAAGGTTCACGCGCTTCCTTCTGCGCGTGCTAGAACTCGCTTCAGATTCCGCCCATCCTTTTCTACTGCCTGGTAGACGTTGACATGCCAGAAGGTACTCGACAGTAGACACCGCTCTTCCTTGTTTCTTTTCTTTTCTGGTTAATTTTTTTTCTCTCTTCATGACCCGAAAAAATGGGGGGAAAAAAGGTATCAAAGGAAGGAAAATAATGGTAAAATTGACATTTTAATAATCTAACTTTAGCTAAAATTTGGAAATATTTTTTTTATTTTCGGAGGATAAATTTTGAAATCCTAAATTAGTTATAGTTTAGTTGATCTTTTTGTTAAATACAAACTGCAAAAAATAGTTGCTTTTTATTTTGTAATATAAATATTTATTAAATGCATCAATGCGATTGAGTTTACAGTTGTTTGTAGTATGCTGGGATAACTTTTTTTTTTGTGTAGTTGGGTTAATAAATTACCTTGTATAGCCTTAGTTAATTATCTTCTTCAAATTAGTTCTAATTTAATGCAAATTGAATAAAGTGACCCTAAAAATATAAAGTCAACAACCACACACAACACAACTTCGAAGCAAAAAAACCCACCTTGATAAGGATTGAATTGACACATTCCATCATTTGTGGTTTTTATGTGATGAAAATGATGTTTAATCTAAACCTTTCAACAATTAAAATATTAGCTTTAAAAATATTCATTACCGAATTATTAAAACAACTTGCGTGTTTCCATATAAAATATTTACCTATTTTATCTGTGTGGGGATGGGCATGACAGCCTACAACCATTGACGGAAAAATTGGGTGTAATTAGCATAAGAACAAAATTAAGTATATTTATTAAGAAAATATAAATTAATTTAATGATAAAAATGAATAAATAACAATTATGTTTATATATTTAAGGAATACTAAAAATATATTAGGTAAAAATACTCAACTAAAAATGGGTCAGAAAACATTAGTTAGCTTGAAATATATTAGATGGAAAAACAATTTAAATAGAATTGAAGAGTTACGTTAACTTTAGAAGTGAAAGTAAAATTCAAAATAAAAATTAAACATAATAAATAGTTGGTCAAAAAACCTATATAAAACTCAAAAGGTGAACTATTTCCTTCTGGTCCGTTTATGATAAAAATAAATTTATTATACAAGTTAAATGACAAACACATTTTGCAATTATTACTTTTCTTTGCTTTTGCTAAGTACTTCTTTGATCATTAATATAACATCTACTCTTTTGTCCAAAATAAATTTATAAGACCTGCCCAATTCATTTGAGCGGTCTGAAAAAGCTAGATTAATTAATTAATTATAAAAAATATGATTTTATTTTCTAAAAGTATTGAGTAATATTATATTATATATTTATTTATAAATTAAATAAATTAGTCTGAGAGAATATAACAAATATTAAAAAAAAAATGAATTGAAATTTTATATTCAGATTTAAATTTAATTCTCAAGTAATTTCTATAATAAATTTGGTAAGAGTATTTATTAGTTTTTCCTCTGTTTTGCAAGTACTCCCTCTCGTACCTATTTCAAGAAGTTAATTAAATTAAGTGATTAAATGTATCTTAAATAAAGTTTTTCTTTTCTATATTTGAAGAGTATGATTGGAAAGTAGTAAAATACTACCTCACATCTTAATTATAAAAACTAATTAACTGATTTGAGGAGATTAAGAAAAAAATTAAATTAGTTATTTGTAATAAATATGTGTTATCTTTTTAAAAATATTTTTGCCAATTAAGATACTGGTTATAACTATCATTGTTAGAAAGACTGTCTTGAAAAAAATATATAAATATGAAAAATAAAATAAATTAAAATCTGATATTTATAATCAAAATAAAAATTAAACAAGATCTTATATAAATAATGTAGTACTACTTTCGATTCTTAATATAAAACCTTGTTTGATTTTTATTTTGATTTTAAATATAAGACCCCAATCCACTTTCTCTCTCATATTTACTCAATTTTTTTCAAAATGGTCCTTCTAATAATTATAATTTTAGTCAATACACTTAATTAGTAAAGATATTTTAAAAAAGATTACACTTATTTAAAACAAATAATTAATTCAATTTACTTTATTAATCTTTTTAAATTAGTTAACTAATTTTTATAATTAGAATCGGAAGTAGTATTTTTTAAGTACTCATATACTCAAAAGTTTCTCTCACAATTGATTATCTTTCCTGACCATAATCGTTTTTGACATGACCGAGCGGAGTACGGTTTTAGTGTTTTAAAAACATTTTAAATGGCCATGCATTGAACGAGGGCTAAACGCTGCAACTTGCATACGGAGACAATTGCGCGAGTGTTGCACACGCGCATTGGCCGTTGGCAAAATTGGTGGTGGACATTTACAGGGATTTCACATTACTTTTTAGACGCTAACAAAAGAGAAGAGACAGTTAGCCGCATAATTTATAAGACAAAATACTATTTACAGTAATTATTGTGGGCCTTAATAATACAAATTTTTTCAGCAAAAAAACACCAACAAAAAAAAATACGTAACAAAATACATTCATTCAAGATGTAATGATGGTGCAGATTTGACTCCTATATCACTTTTTTTTTTTTTACCCACCCAACTCATCGGAATTTTGTTTCGACTACATTTGGATTCAACCTACGTCGCGCACCTAGCTGTGGTGAGTGAGTCTCCCAACAGGGATTTCTACGTACGCTGAGGCTCAAACTCGAGACTTCGCTTAAACAGTACCAAGCCGCTTACCACTTAGATCAACTCCTGTTAGTGACTCCTGTATCACTTGATAGTCCATAACGGAAGAAATATTTCTTAAACATGTTAAGAAGGGCAGATATCTAACCGTCCACCATTAAAAAAAAAAAAAAAAGGCCAATAAAATTTTCTCAACAACCAGTGAAATCTACGAGCTCTGTACGGAACTAAAAAAAAAGGTCAATCTAAACGCAATAAAAATGTCAATCTAGTGTATCATTACAAAATTGTGAAAAATTTAATGACATAATTGATAAATTAAAACATATTACTTCTGATCTTTAATATAAGAGCTAATTGACTAATTTGAGTATAAGTAGTTAAGTTAGTTATTTATAATAAATATGTGTTGTTTTTCCTAAAATATCCTTACTAATCAAGTGTATTAAGTAGAACTACCATTACTAGAAAGACCCTTTTGAGAAAAAAATAGATAAATATAAAAAATAAAATGGATTGAGATTTTTTATAATTAGAACTAAAATAAAAGTTAAAAGAGATTTTATATTAATGACTAGAGGTAGTAATTTCTTTTACTTATAAATAAGACCAAAGGTGCATGAATTATGGGAGAATTATGATTAGATCTCAAGAAAGAGAAATAATTACGAAAAAGTTTTAATAACAACCTTATCAGCCTATAATAACAAGTTTCAAAGTAGACAATGACAGGTTGACAACTTTTAGAACTTATTTTGTAATTATTTTTTTCTTAGAACTTGATTGTAATTCTCCAATGACTTATTCGGCGAGTTAAAAATTAATAGCGTATTTAATATGCTACCACCTCTAGTTTTAAATATAAGATCTAATTGACAATTAAGATGTAAGTTATAATGTCATATGTACTCTAAAGTAGATCGGGAAGTAGTACTTTGGAAGTGGTCCTGAGCTAAATGGATGGAAAATTAACCCTAAAGGCGGGTAACCAAAGCCTGAACTCGGGGAGCAAGCTTGTTATAGAACAAACAAGGGTGTTGAATCTAACTTAATGTGTTAGCGTCACAGGGCGAACCATTTTAATCAATCGAAGTTGCACAGTAACAAGCTATTATAACCTTTTTAATGGTAAGTGTGCACACGCCTGAAGCTTCTCTAATTTTAATTATATAATCCGTACATAATAATGCTTTATTCTAAGATTTCAATTCTTTCACATGTTTCTTGTAGCATATACCGTTTCATAAGTCCAAAATATGGAATAAACGAGGGTTTCATTTCTGTTTCATTTTAGTCTTTATTTTATGGCTACATAGCTTTTCGTCTAAGGAATAAGAAACTTTTCTTTTTAGTAGATGAATGGTCTTTTCATTGGGAAAAGCTATCTCTTCCGTAATGATGAAGTACATGAAAACAACGCCACTTTGAGCTACTAACAGGAGTTGGATCTAGTGGAAAAAAAAAACGCCAATTTGGGCTTCCTTTTATGAGAATAGTCCTTCCTCCTTTTGCCACTTTGATGTGTTAGTTATTATTCTGGCCAGTATAATATTGGGTTGGGTTTGCACTTAATATGTTTTTTCTTCAATGTACACAAGCCATTTTCGAATAATATTGCTTTTCAATAGGAGGATTATAGGCCAAAAAAAAATGAATTGTCCGAATCTAGTAAATAGGGGAACAAAAATTGTTCAAAGAACTCACTTCAATTGAATTCCATAATGCTGAAATATTAGATCCCACATGGTTGGATTGGCAGGAAAAAGCAAAGAAAAGCTTGAAGCTAATTAGTCCATTTTTTTTCAATACGGATGCGTTTTAGAAGGAGAGAGACACTTCGAAAGCGTCTGAAATTTATAAAATTTAAATGTGATTTTTTGTTGTTGTTGAAGGAATGCCAAACACGCAATGAATGTATTTTGTTTTTTGGGCAACAACACGCATGAGAGTTAGGATTTCTTTATTTATTTGTTTTTTGCTACACATGTGTATCCTCCTAAATCCTATTCAAGACATTGTCAATGTCAGGTACTAAATATAGGTATCTCTCCTAACTGTGATTCAAACCTTGTTTTATCACTTTATGAGAGATTAACTCCTGCTATTAGACCTAAATCCCCTTGATAAGTTAGGATCTCGTTAGAATGCGAGGCGGATGGGAAGAATTAGGGGCTGCAGAAAGGACCATTGTGAACCCAACAGTGTTTTAGTCATGAGAGGGAACGAAGGAGATCTCGGTGCGATGGGCCTGATCCCGAGTTGGTCTAACTTCTGGCCCATTTTGACTGTGAAGCAGGCTCGAAGAATGGTGAGCCCATAACACAACCTCTTGATCTAATTATTGTAAGGTCTTGCAAGGAAGTCTGCGGTGGTATCCTGGTGTCTTTTGAAGTGATAGACAGTGAATTTATAACAAGAAAACTAGTTTTTTTTTTTGGTATAACTTACTTATATTTATAAAAGTCACTTGAGGTTGTCTCTCTTTTTTTAAAATTTCTATTTTCTCCCATTAATTACCCATATTAATATTATTGTATTTATTATCACGTAAATTGTTTAGAATTTAGATGGTCAATTCTCTCTTTTACACTATATGTCCTCACAAATAAAAATATTTTTTTAAAAAAAAATCATTTCTTACATATTTATTGTCTCTAAATCATTTTAATCAAAATTTTTACTAACGTTATTCCACTAATTAACTCTTAAGAAAGGAACGGAGGGAGTCCTTGAGAAATCAAAATATCGTTATAAATGAAATGACATATATAGCCTCCGCCTTACCAAGTTTTGTCTCTTTCCTTCTTTCACGAATTCTCGTACCCTGGTGGGTCACGCATTCCGTGTTGGAGTTTCTAACATGGACTCAACGTGAGAATGGGAAGCCCTTTGCTCTCTGGAATCTTCGCACACTCCAAAGTCCAAACAACTAGCTTTCATTCCCCTTTATTACGAGCCATTCCTTAAAACGTTTATCCAGTGTTCGAAAACCACGTTCCCAGTGCAGCATTTGACACGTAATGGCCATTCAGTCCTACCACCACCTTCCGTTCCAGTTTTCATAGCGCCAAATTGTTCACGCCAACGACCTCTCTAAGATTCACGGAATCTGCAGAGGTCTCTTCTCCATCCCGTTTTAACATGGCATCTTCGGCGCGTGTTGCGCACTGCCAGCTGCGGCCCCCAGCACCGTCGGTTCGGTCGAAGGAGCAGTTTGTTCCAGGTCAGATTCCCGTTCCGAAACCCAAGCCGGCGGAGTTAGAAGCCACAAACATCGTTCTCCAGCCCCGTCTGTGTAACCTGAGATCTTACGGGTCCGATCGGTCGGGAGGCGTGATCCGGACTAGAAACGACGGCGTTGATGCCGCCGATGACGTGTCCCCCTTCTTTGCCACCCTGTCTGAATATATTGAGAGCTCTCGGAAAAGCCATGATTTCGAGATCATCTCAGGTCGCCTGGCTATGGTAATCTCTCAACTTACTAATCACTTGCAATTTCAAAGAGGAAAAGAAGAAATCCACAATGAATCATCTAATATTTTTAAATGATCGATCATTTTAAAGCAATGGATTAGTAAGAATAACACTTGGGGGTTCGGTGAAGCTTGTGTTTGCAGGGACATTGACGATGGAAATCGTGACGGGGAACTCAGTGTTCAGAAAGATGGAGATGGAAGGGATAGTGGAAGCAGGAGGGGTGTGTTTGGGAGCGGTAGCTTTTGCGGCCATATTTGCGTGGTTCTCAAGTGCTCGAAACAGAGTGAGCAAGGCGTTCACAATCGGATGCAACACTTTCATCGATTCTGTGATTGATCGGATCGTGGATAGCTTGTTCTACGAAAGTGAGCTTAGTGACTGGTCTGATGAATTGTGAAGCTGTGTCAGTATCTAAGCGTTTTGGTTTGGCTGTGTGTAAAAGAAAACTATAGAAAATGAGAGGTGGAGGTATAATTAGGCAAGTGAGAGTCCAAGACTTGGATTTGATGAGCACCTCTGTAGCTTTATACGTTGCTGGATAGTACATAGCATGATGATGTAAACAGCTTATATATGTTTGGTGTTTTATATAGAAAAGAAGAATGGTAACTAGTTGATATGGAGCGTCAGAATTACATTCAAAAGCTCCAGACTGATTTCGCGTTTCGGTGTCGAGTTAGATCTTTGGGGAAGGCACTAGTTTAATTTCAGAGAGGGGAAAAAAGAGAGAATTGTTGAGAGTGGGATTTGAACCCACGCCCTTTCGGACCAGAACCTTAATCTGGCGCCTTAGACCAACTCGGCCATCTCAACTTAGATGACGGCTTTTTAATTCACAATACACATTCCATTAATAGTTTTTTTTTTTATATCTTTATTTTAGTTTTAATCTCTGTAATTTCATATCATAAAAAGGGTAAAATGATTTAAATTTTTATTAAATTATAGGAAAAAATATTATTAAAATTTTTTTGAAAGATCAAAACTTATTATTTAAAATTTGAGAGACCAAAAACAAAATAAAAACAATCAAAGTTGGTATTAACTCTTTTTTTTTTTCCAAATCAGTTGGGCCTTTTCTCTTTTATTTCTTCTAAAATCTATAACTCCCCAAAAGACAAAAAAGGTCCAGAATAAAATAGGAGTACTGGCATGTGATGGCCCATCATATTGCCTTGGGGTTTTGTATACTGGTGGGCCCAAGGAAAGGATTAGTTAAGAATTGTGGTTATATTTTCTTCCCCAAAGCACGAAGGAATTGTATTCATGCTTTTTTTTTCTTGGACAAAATTGTTTTCATGATTTGAATTACCAAAATTAGATAAAAATCAAATACTAGCTCTGGTTTTTAATATAAGATCTAGTTGGTTAATTTAAGTAAATTTAAAAAGTAGGTTAAATTAGTTTTTTATAATAAATAGATGTTATCTTTTTTAAAACCCCCCATTAATTATCTGTGTTAACTGGAACTATCATTTGATGGAACTTTTAAAATGCGTAACTACTATTATGACTACTTTAAAAAAAAATTAAATATGATAAATAAAATGGATTTGAAATTTTAAATTTAAAACAAATTTGAATATCAAACTAACTCTTTTATTAAGAATCAGAGATAGTATAATCAAACAAAAATGACAATATGAGAATGTAGATGGAACAGTAGATTCTACTGTGTCGCAAAATGAAAGGGGAGCTTGCTCTATAGTACCAGACTCCATTCTCCATTGGAATATGAAGTTCTGAGCATGATTATGCTCATAATCTGAGTTTAATTATTGATTAATGCTAATCTAAGCCACAAAAAAAAAAAACTCATTGGAACACAGGAATGATGATTTATATGATTCCGGAGAAATGGACATTAAAAGTTTTGACGGGGACAACTGTCGGCATAGGAATTCAGATGGTATAATTAATATTCTCCTATTTCTTGCCTAAAAAGGTATAAATTCGTTGTTAACATGTGAACTTGCGCAGTAGGGCCAGCTGCAGTGAGTCAAAGCAATATGGGGCACACTGTAGAGGGGATACAAACGCTGTAATTCTACAGTTCATGCAGAGAGAAAAGCCAAAAACACTTCTCAACAACACGTCTACATTCATTAATTAATGCTCATGTCTTTTCTTTTCTTTTTTCTTTTTAATATTCATCCGGCTGTGAAGAAATATTTTTTTAAATGTATCTAAGTACGATGGTTAAATCATGTCTATCTTATAAATAAGGGGAGTAAAGAATTAAAAAAATTGACCTCTTAATTCTGAACTCTCAAGGCAAGAAAAATTCAAAATTAACCAAGATAACTTAGCGCAAATAAGAGTTTTGTCTTTGTGGAGAGTAATGGTATATTTTTACTCTCTCTTTTTGACCTTGTTATTTTTTACTCTTTCAAACTGGTACTTAACTGTAAATTTTTTTTTAAAAAAAAACTAGTTTAAAGAGCTTTATAGTTTTTATTAATTTTGAATCAGGTTTTTATACTTTTTTTTTTCTTTTTATTGATTCTTTGAATTTTATAATGTTAAGGCTATTAGTCCCTTAGAGTTAAATCTAGTAACAGTGTTAAATTTTCTGTTAGTCAAGTTTGAAACATCTTTGTCCACTCTGGCACTCTCTCCTTCGACCATACCTGACCCAGCTCTTCCATCTCCTTCATTCGCCCAACAACTTTATCTTCCTACCCACCATTCCCCTGCTTATTAAAACATGTATTGTTGCAGAATCATCTATGGAGGTAAAAATAAAATAGTAGGAGATTCTGGGTTTCTCTGGCCAAACAGAATTAAATTTATAGTATTAAAAAATCAGCACTAAAATTATGGAGAGGTTGAAAGCAACGGTGAGCCAATTATCAGTAAGGAGACGATGGGTAAAGAGATGAAATAATGGAAAGAATGGAGAGAGGAGAGCTTGGTTCGATATGGTGGAAGGACCGGGTAGGCAAAATGTTTCAGATTTGGACTAATGAAAAATTTAACACTATTAATAGATTTAACTCCAAGGATTAATATATCTAACATTATAAATTAAAGCACCCAAAAAAAAAGAAAGAAGAAAAAACATGAGGACTGATTCAAAGTTGATGAAAACTGTAAATATCTTCAAATTGGTTTTCCCAATTTTTTAAACCTGTTTTCAAAGCACATTTTCAAGTATTCCTGTGTTAAAAACTTTGACTGTGGCCTTTGGAAAATTTCAATTTATAATCCTAATTAGAGCCAAGAAGTAACAGGTTAGGTTGATGAAAATCAGGTTCGTTTTGAAACGGATCTTTTGAGTCCGTAACTGGCAAGACCGAACCCGTGACGGGTTAACCCGCAGGGTTGGCGGGCTAGCTCTTTTTTATATTATTTTTTAAAATTTTTTTCCCTCCCTCAAATATAATTATGTTTACTCATTTGGTCCTTTATCTTATTCTTATTATTTAAAATTACCATAATGTAATATATCTTTTACTTTATATTTTGAATTTTACTTGTGACAAAGTTAGTTGAGCAAAAAGAAGGTGATTATAATTATGATGCTTAACCAAATAATTTCACATCTTCCTATCATTCTTTGAACTATATCAACATTGAATAATAGTTCATTGTTGAGCACTTGATAGTGATTTGTAACATTGTGTTTGTATTGTTATTAATTTAGATTTGTTATGTTTTAATTTGGGATGTATGTTTAATCATTTAGGATGATGAATCATGTATGCTTATAGTAGTATTTTGGAATATTTGAAACTTTGGATTTCATATATTTATTTATGATAATTTCTATATGCATATTTTATTTTAGGTGTTTAAGAATTAAAATAAATTTTATTAAAAGAAAATGGAAGGCACAAAAAAAATTTTAAAAAAAAAGTGGCGACTCACCAACCCACCCTGATGGTTGAGTTGGAAAAATATCAACTCGTCATAAGTCGATCTTTTTAGGACCAGCCTGTCAATCCTTGAGCCTATCATGGGCCAACCCGTAACTAGTGGGTTGGTCCATATTACCGGCTCTAATCCTAATATATGGAATATTTCTGATTAAGAGGGATTTACTCTCTCTTGTTGTTCCTATTATGGGAGCCATTTTAACAAAAAGTTGTTGGTCTTCTTTATAAAAGTTTCAACAGTGCTTGTTCTGGTTTAAAATATAAACTAAATTTTATCTATTGCATTTATTAAGAAACTAATTAAAATCAATTTAAAACAATAAATGTGTAAAACATATATTTGTTTTTTCTAATATATCCTTATTAATGAAAAAAATAACTAAAAGATGTAATAAATGAATTAAAGAGGAAAGAGAATATATAGGGGTAAAATTGAAAAAAAAAAACTCATTAAATACTTGGACAAAAATGAATGTTATCTTATAAAAAAAATCAAACCCTTTAAAAAGGTTTAACTTATATTTTGAACTGGAGGGAGTATTAAATATTTTTCTGTACATATCCATATTTAATTAGGACAGTAAGAAAATAAAAATTAATATAATTTTTAAATTTAGTACAATTAATAAGGTTAATATTATAAACCACTTGAATTTGAGTTTTTATAATAAAGACTAGAGAGAGTTTCTTTTATCATCAATATCCCAAAGTTATTAAAAAAAAAAAAGGACAGATTTTTACTGTGGGTGAATCATACTCTATTTTCATTAGGGTTTTGTTTCGTTTAATTGAGGGGAGAGAAGAGGAGGTTAATTAAATAACAGAGAGAGGAGGAAAAGGGAGGTTATAGGTTTTGTTTGGTTAGAGGGGAGAAGAGAGAAAAGATTTCTTGTTTGATTTATAAGGAGAGGAAAAAGAAAATAATTATAAATTAATAAATATGTTTTTATCTCTATATTTAGACTGTTTTATTTTTTATCTCTATAATTTAGAAAGCAATATTAAACGAACTTTTTTGGTGAGAATACAGGGTGATAGAAAAGTAAAAGATAAAAGAATTTAATAATAAACAAAAAGTTTCGTCTATGAAGAAAAGATCACTTGAACACTTTAAGAAGAAACCATCATGGGGCACAAGACAGTATTCAGTAAGTTGCCTACCCACAAGAAGAAAGAAGCATATCGAAATGATTTTTTTCCATACGCAATAATTTCAATATTCACAACAATCACATTCTTTAATGCCTATTTTCCTTTAAAATATTTTGAAATGCAAGAATGTTTACAAATTCAAATATGTTTCGCATGTTGTTTTTTAAATTAAATATCTATTAAAACGGATCCAATGTCACAACTATAAACGATCACACAGTCTGTTTGATCCTTCGTCTGGATATTATTAGTTAATATAAATGTTATATTTCATTAATTCATTTTTAAACTGCATTGAATTTAAAAGAAACTGAATTTTCTGTTACAACTATGCCATTACCATGTACAGTGGCTGTTAATGTCGGTCGTCAGGACTTATCTCCCACCTACATATATAGGGCTTTGGTGGTCATGGGAGATTCAAAAATGGTGAAGCCTAACTGATTAAGAATCAAATATTTGATACAAAAATCATAAATTACCAATTGAAATAGTTTTTTTTTATTTTTATGACGAGTCAAATTCTAATAAGTTATGCTTATTACATTCTCCGACCATTTTTTTTAAATAAAAAACAACTACTAAAACCGCACGGTTCAAAATATTAGTTAATTTTTGCTAAAAATAAT